TTTAATACCATTCCAGTCAAATTGTCAAAATAAAAAGCTTCATGGATCAGAAGACTCAAAATCACAGGTTATAGTAAACAGCTTTTCATGTAATCAATGTTTGTTTTCTCAAATCTTAAACAATATGTAGTATAACTGTCCAATGATTGAATGATCAATGATCATAAACTGAAAAACCCCAAACATTTATTTACAAAGTAAATAATAGTATGTCGCCTTATGGCTACAGATTTTTTGTCCATTGAAATATATTTGCAGTAATGTAGGATTTCGCTGCCGTATAACGGCCACGATTCCCCAAGCACTAAAGAAATCATAACTAAAAGTCCTTCGTCAACAACAATTTTAGAAGCATCGATCTGCTTACCATACGCCATATTGACATAAATCGCATCACACTCACATAATTGACTTTGATATATTACATTCATGCATACACTTCACTTGTCCTTTACTTACGATTTTGGATGTAAATTTCTGCTGATAAAACTCAAAATAATGTTGGCTTTCTTTTGAACATCAATGACTGAAATGTCGCTCGCGAGATCGTCTTTGCCAAGCATTTAAAATTTATCCATAAATTTCCACCCTCTTGAAAAAATTCACATTTTGGACAGCAGCATTCATGTCAATATATGAATTTGTAAAAGATTTCCATAAATTCCATCTGATTGTAGTTTAGTTTCTATCATGCTTATAAAAATTACTATAAAACGATCAAACATTCAATTCAGACAGTGAGCTTGACTACGTTAGTTCAGTTGGCTATCAGTCGAAATCCGTCAAACCAATCACAATAAAGCAAAAATTCAAATGAACCAATTGTAAGATAGCAATTGGACTCCCTTATAAGTCCGGCCACCCTTATTATCAGTCGAGACCATTCCAGACTGTCCACTGATCTGGCTATTGACCAATAAAACAAGCGTTTTTGACGTTCATAGAGTCCTTTATCTGTCGAACCAGTCAAGCCACCCCGCTTATTAGTCGGTTATTCCAGGTCAATTAAAATTCAACTGATCTGGTTACCAACGAGATATTCATTGGATTAGTCATTAGTTTTCAATAATAAATAATGCGGGATTTTTATCACGAAGTAAATGCGATAAGAAAATAAGAATAATTAATGAATTTTTAATTAATATGAATAGGTAATTTTTGAATTTCAAACATCAGTCGCGCGAAGGATTTGGCATACTCTAGATCCGCCCCTGCGTCTGGTAAAATCTTCAGGTTTGAAGTGCAGCGAGCAAATGCTCGACATCTTTGATATGGGGCATTTTGCTAGTTTTAAAGCGACAAAATTCAGCCACTTTTTCCTCCTTTCCTTTTTTATAGTATCTTCTGATCCATAAAAAGAAATGCGGTGGAGTCCTATGCCCTTTTCCGGGCGAGGAACGCTAGAACAGCCAGCAACTATACAGCGATTAGGCATATCAAAATATATATTTCACTGTATTTTTAATGCACGCTTGCTGAAATGTTACTTACATGACGTCACGCTTTCCTCAAATGACGCGCAGTTCCAGTCAATTGCCGGGAAACCGAGCGACTCAAATAGCCAGTTTTTTTATGATTTTAAGTGAGTGTAGCAGTAAACGTTTTTTATAACGTATTGTACAACAAATAATTCGCCCTCCCAATCGCAGGAAATGCTGTTCCCAAGCTCTGGATTTCAAAATTTTACGGAAACATTGAGACTCAAATGTTGACTTGTATTATATTGCATGTTGCTATATATTCAGTCAAGCGGAACTAAACAAAATTAGCACACCACTGTACTTGTTAGAACAAATACAGTATTCACCGTTGCGAAAAAAAACGTTCTCTGAACAACATCTAAGACACTTCAGAAAACGTTTTTAAAACACAATCATAGAAAAAATGGTTTTCAGTGAAAAAAAACCTAAAAGTCTCAAGAAATCTAAATGACGTTACTTTCCTTGTCGCGACTCTTGTGAGCACATGCATTTATGAGGCTCAGGTGCAATCTAAGCTAAAACGTTCAAAAAATGCAGAAATGTTAAACACTTACTTAGTGATATAACTATAATCAATATTTAAAAATTGAGCGAATTTGGTGTAAATGATATTAAATATACAATTTTATTTCAATTCTGTTCATTTACCAACTTCATTTAGCCCTATTTACCCATTTCGGTCTACCCACGTGTACGCATTGCGTACCTCTTTTTATATTATAAAGTTACTTATAAATCTTGGGTTAACCACATGCAACATTTGTGAATGGAGAATACGAAGCGTGAGTTTATTTACCATAACAATTAGGATAATCAGTATTAATTTCATATTCATTTTCTCCTTATTAATTTTCTTTGATAAAACTATTACATCTAAAAAATGTAAATAAAGCAAAGGTAAATGTTTCAAATATTAAAAAAATGCATAAGAATTTCTGACAAACTGTGCTAGATGGCAAAAGCTGTAAGAAACTGTGATCAACATTGAACTTTTTATAAGTTATAAATGCTTAATATTTCTTCATATATCTTTATCATTCATTGGAAAAATATACCATGTTTACTTTTTCTGCCAATCTTTAACATTAAAACGAACCATTTTTGACCGTCTGACAATCTTCGGAAGAAAAAATTTCTGAATTATTTTAAGAATTGATGATCTGTTTGATTTGGTCTAAACAGCTTTAATTTATAAAAAATGTCACACACATCTTTTAGGAGCGGTACAATTTAGTCTTTGGGTTCGATTCTCAATACACTGCTTTTGTGTCAGAAATGCCCATATTATAGTTGAATTTTTTGAATAATTTCTGACGTAAACATCTCAACTTGTATTTTGTAATAAGGAAGGCATTTATGGTTATGCATATATGTAAAATAATTATGTTCTCAGTTATGATTTTATTGGCAAATGTGTTTCGTCCAGTCTTAAAACGAATTTTTTTGAAATTCATTTACTTGGAAGAAGTCTTTAACGTAAAGAAGATGATTTTTTTCTTTTTACTTAGTTTATATGTAGAAAAGAATAGCCCTTTTTCATTACATATAATAGTACATACGAATGCTTCAAAAAATAGTAGATACGAATGCTTCAATTTGATTAAATTTAATTTTGGCTTTCTAAAAATTATCATAATGGTTATTGATACTTCCACCCAATATTGGGGGTAAATGGGATTATATTTTACATTCGTTTCCCTCAAGTTGAATGTGCCCTCTAGCTGGTGGATAGTGAATTTCAGCAGGTGTTTTATCGGTTTTATCTATCGCTTCATAAGTTATAAAGCATACATATTTACTAAGTGGTTAAAATATCCCTTACAATTCAGCCCGATGTTATATTTGGAAATGTAAAACTACTTTTGACGTTTAAAGTGCCTATGACATGAATTTTTTATGTTTGTAATCACCAGAACTTTTGAGATGACAGTCTACTGTCTAAAACAGTTAATACATATCTCTTTTCCTTCGCGAGATATTGAAGTTTTTGTTATTTCTATTTCATCCAACTTGTGACGTCATATTGCATAATGAGTTCTAAAAATGTCTCAAATACTTTTCATTTTCTTGACAACTTTAGGTTCATACTAATAGGCAGCATTTTATATCATCAAACACGTCACAACAAATGAAACTATGTCCTTGTGAAGTAAAGTATCGTTAAATATACCTAATACTCCTAGCTCTCATTATGCAATGTGACGTCACAAGTTCGATAAGTCGGACATAGCATAGTCCTCAATATCTCAAGAGTTAAAAGTGATATGCATAAACTGTTTTAAAAAGTACACTGTCATTGCAAACATAAGAATTTTCGTGTCATAGGTCCTTAAAAAAAGCATACTATTTGGTTTGTAAACGAATACAAAATAATTTATAGTCTTGTGAAGATTGATGAAGATTAGTTACTATTACAAGCCAGTCCTCGCTTCCAAAGGCAATCACGTTTGTACTATCCAGAAAATCTAGCTGTCATATGTTACAACTCATTGTAAAATAAGAACGTGTCTAAAATCTTAAATAAATAGATGCAGTACCCTCTAGAATAAATCCAAAATGTCAGTCTTCGTCAATTCTAGGAACATTTTTCGCACTTATTATACATTATGTAATCCGCGTTGTTTTTAATTTTTGCAACGTTGTGTTTAAAAGGCTGCAGTAACTAGAGAAAGCTGTAGCATTGTTCTTTGTCATTTAGAAGTTATTTACGTACTTTTGTTGTTATAGTATGCTCTTTGCGAAGTTAATTCAATTAAATAAAGCCCAAAAGTTCAAAATTTATGTAAATGATTTACAAAACTTTAAACTAAAACTATCACACAACTAATACTGAATGCTTTAATGTGACATTAATGTGTGGATACCTGTCAGATGATATGGGATCTGAGATGATAAAATCAACATAAAATTTTGCACTATTTTCTATCTGTGGAGTAAATACAAGGTCTTCCAGCAGTTATAAGATTACTTTGAAACTTTACTCAGTCAATGTGAGTGTGAGAGAGTTTTTAGAATATAGGCAATAGAGAGCGCCGTAGTTAACCTTACGTGTATTTAGGTGTATATTCAATATTCATTTAAGAAATCCTAAATACATAGCACTTGCATTTTAGTTGTATGGATTTAGGCACGAAATAATTGTCATGGTTACAGTGCATGAAATAAGCAAAATATCAGGAAATGATAACAACTATGAATATTTTTCTATAAAACTAATTAAAATATTATTGTGTCCATATACAAATTATTAAACGAAATGCTGTCACTCACTCAATCTCATGAAAATGTTATTCAATTCAACTATTTTATATTGATCAGCTACGTAATTAATGCGAGATAGTAAAACACAAAAGATTCTACTTAAGGAATTAAGCACAACTTCTGATGGTCAGGTTTATAAGATAAGAAGCTCCCAAAAGACCAAAACACCAAGGCCAGACTTTTAGTAATTATAATAATTTCAGAAATACAATTTTTATCGTATACGAGTTTAGTATATTGGATAAATGTAGAGCAAAATTTTTCAGTGCAGCCAAACATAAAAGTTAACTTTTAATGTCATGTTCGCATTCGGTCTTTTTCCAAAACAATTTACAGTAACAATTAAATAATCAGGTATATTAAAATGTATCAATGAATACCACAGGCTATAGATTCAGCAGAAATGCGGTAAAATATCATCTAAATACGTCGTGGAAACTGTTTTTCTTTATATCTATAAAATAAGATCTCTACAGTATCAATAATTTCTTAATTGCTACATTTTTACCCCCAACAGGTTCTGTTGTATCTGAATTGTTTATTAATGTAGTTCGCTTTCATTAAAATTAAAAAAGTTCTTGAGTTCTGGTTTGTTTTCAATTCTTCATTTGACCTGACAGCAGCATGTACCTGAACAGGGAGATTAGGAAATGTTCGGAGAAAATACGCCCTGTAATCGCCAATCTTATAAAATGGTTCTGGTTGTGGTAGAGGTCGTGGTAGATCGTTCCAATGCTGGTCGATATTTCGAATGAATCTTAAGCATTCTGGCCATGAAGATTTATAACGGACCTTACTGATTTTTCCATTTTCCTCGTACGTGCGAAAGTAATCATAGACATTCCAATCCATTTGACTTTTCCAATATACGGATTCGCTATTCAATTTTTGAACGACACTTGACTGGGGATCATTTGTCTTAATCTGTTGAAGGTTCCCAACTTTACATAACATTTGAAATTTCTCATCGTCTGACATGAGAAACGGGTGTTTTAATGCTTCGTTAGAATATGGTCTGTCTTCAGGTTTTAGATTTAACATCCACGACAGAAGGTCCTTTAGTGTTTCATCTTCGATTTCATCCAAACCAACAGGGTTTCCTTTTAACATGTTGATCTGTCTATATAGTTTAGTTCCAAAAGGATGTTTTCCTTTTGTTGCAACATAATAAGCTACCATCCCTGCATTCTAAAATAATAAAAAGCTTTACATCAAAATGCAATTTCACAACATTGAGTTTCTTTGCAACTTGCAAATGTTTACATTCCTACACTTACATATACATCAGACCTTCTATTGTAACAGGCTTTATATCCTGAATCATCATCTTCGCAATATGATTCAGGAGCTATCCAATGCACAGTTCCCATGGAAGAATTGCTTTCATATGTCGTAGAATCATCCTTCAATATTCGACTTATGCCAAAGTCAGCTATAAGAAATTTGCTTTTTGAGTCTCGCAGAACATTGGAAGGCCTCAAATCCCGATGTAGAATAGGATTTGGGCACCTATGGAGATCAGCTAATCCTTTCAAAATTTGTCTAAGAATATCAGGAAGAGCTTTTTGAAGATCATTCAAAGTAGAAGACTTGACAAAACTCTCCAATGATTCTTCACATAAGTCTAATATCAAATAAACATATTCTGTCCCAGTATCTTCTTCTAAGTAGAAATAATTCACCACATATTTCGACTTCTTTGCATTGAATTTATTTAAAATTTTCTTTTTATGATGTGCAAGCTGGACAAATTTATATCGATGTATTCGTTTCACTGCTTTACCGTAACCATCCTTACCCAGTCCAAGATAAACACGGGTTGCATCACTTCCTTCGCCAATGCAAAATTCTTCTGAGAATATTACACGCACATTGCCCACCACTTTAACCTCAACAGTGGGATTGCGTCCGTATTCAATCAACTTTAAAAGCAATTCTCTATGTTTCGTTGATTCATCAATGTATTTCCACTGTTCTAGATAAAAATATTATATTCAAGAGTAAAGAAACAAAATAAATATATCAAAATAGCTTAAACTTCCCCAAATAGGAAAGGATACTGATACTGTACACTTTTGAAAAAACGTATTAACAATTATTAGACATATCATAAATTTTTTAACTGGTAACATTCCAGGTTAGCTTATACCAAACAATTAATCACAAAAACTCTCTAACTTGTGACATCATATTGCATTCAAAATGAGTCGCTGCAATGTTTCAAATACCCTTTATTTTCCTAACAACTTTAGGTTGATAATGGTACGCAGTATTTTATATCATTAACACATCACAGAAGGAAGCTCCGCCATGTTAAAATAATGTATCAACAAATTTATGTAATACATCTTGTTCTCATTATTCAATGTGACACCAGATAAATCGGACATAATAAAAACTTCATTATCTCGAGAATGAAAAGTGATATGCATAAACTAGTACAGAAAGTCCATTATCATATTAAAATGTCTGTTCAATAAAAGTATAACACAGGTTGCTACATTTTCGTTTTATAGGCATTTTATGCTTTAACTCTAAATTATCTGACGTACTGTTTCTCTTATTCATTGGCAAAGTGAACCTCGTTATCAACATTTCTGCAAATTCAAACTCTACCTCATTGTTAGTATTAAAATAGACACTTTGTCGTGGTGACAAATCTGAAAATCGTTTTGAAGATCGCAAATACCATTGTGAATTACTTTTACGATTCCCATGGTATTTAAAACGATTGCCAGTAATATTTTCCCTTTGCCGAATTGAAAATGGTTATTTGCAGTTTTCAATTATTTTATTAAACATATGATGATTTATTTGCAGAAACAATTTGTCTGTCATGTGTCTATTGTGTCAGGGTTTTCGTTATCGAAAAAATTTCCATTTGAGGAAATTTTTTAAGGGAAAAGGAATCATAAAATACAATAAATTTTTTCACCCACGAAAAAGTAAGCGATTTGAATCCTCATCATATTTTTAGTCCTTTTGATAAAATTCTTGTCTTTTAGAAACATATGAAAGAAATGATGTTGTAATGTTAAAGAATAATAATTTGACAAGATAAGCAACACGAACGATGCAAGCAAATGATTGAAAATCTGGCTTCAAATGTTGTAACATCTTTTTTGTATATCGATGCATTTTATGTACGAGGCAGAATATTTTAATTATCTTTCGCCAACACAATCACCTTTTAAAAATTTGAAAAAGTTTCACTCACAATACAACGCTCCTTTGGAGCTCTCTTACAAATAGAGTTTAAGAAGGCAATTGAGCAAATCATTTCCATGCTTTCACATAAAAAATTTTCAAATCAATTTTGTATCTATCCATGTGCCTGTCAATTTATTGATCTATTTGTCTATTTGAATTGTGGACCTCTATACAGTGGTCCGTCCGTGCTACAATATCTGAGAAAACATATCACAGCCATTGAGTTCTGTAAGTGATATTTTTCATCAGCAGCGTTATTAAGCACCCCACCACCTTACTAAAAGTTATAGTTTGGCCCTTTATACAGTGGTCAGTGTTACAGTATCTAAGCAAACATGATACAGCCATTGAGTTCTATAGCGATATTTCAGCAGCAGCGTTATTAAACACCCCTCCCACCCACTAAAAGTTATAGTTTTGGTTCTCCATACAGTGGTCCTTGTTACTATATCTGAGAAAACATGATACAACCATTGAGTTCTGTAAGCAATATTTCAGCAGCAGCGTTATTAAACAACCCTCCCACCCACTAAAAGTTATAGTTTTGGTTCTCTATACAGTGGTCCGTGGTACAATATCTAAGAAAACATGATACAGCCATTGAGTTCTGTAAGCGATATTTCATCAGAAGCGTTATTAAACACCCCCTTCCCACCCCACTAAAATTTATAGTTTAAGCCCTCTATACAGTGGTCCGTGCTACAATATCTGAGCCAACATGATACAGCCATTGAGTTCTGTAAGTGATATTTCATCAGCAGCCTTATTCTTGCTTAATCGGGTGGCTTAAGTCGCAAGTGGATTTGTCAGATTCACGTGCACTTTTTAATGGAGCTCATTAAGACAGTTGGCAATCATCAATTAAGACACAGTTTGAATTATAAATGAGATTTTTGGACTCACTTGCTCTTCTAATATAGTCCAAGTAATTACAGTTATTATTTTGAGATCAGTGGGAGAATTAATTGAAATCAATGAATAAAGTCGTTGTTTTTATGTTTTGCGATTAGTAACGTTATTTGCTTATCTTATTTTAGAAATTTTTTAGTAGAAAAAAAACTGATACAGCAACTTTTATGCTCTATGCAACTTTAAAAATGCAATTCTAAGTAAGAAGTATTCAAAATTCAATTCTAAACTAGAAAATGATCTTTGTGGACTTCTGAATGATGTTCAAACTGAAGCGGTAAACTTCAGTATATTTAACTAGGAAAGAGCTCAAAAAAACTTGTAATTTTCTGTAAATTTAGAATTTAGAAGATCGTTTAATAAATGTGCAATTTAATGCTACATTTGTCATAATGAAAATTGTAAATAGCCGTCTTTTTACTGTAGAACCTTGAGAATTCACATCGTCAAATTGGCTCATTTTTACAATCTTTAAAATTTTTACAATATTTATGGTAGTAATGAATATTTTTCTCATAATAAATTTTTCCCTTCGAATTTAAGTAAATAAAGACTGATGAACAAAGAAATGATGTCAATATCACGTAAAATTAATGTGTAATCAAATTGCTATTGTACAACGATCACAAAATTTAGGTGTAATAAAAATGAGAAAGTTCAAGCTAGTATGCTTACCCTTAAGTTTTGGTTTGTTTTTCAAGTCTTCATTTGACCTGACAGCTGCATGTAACCGAACAAAGAAGACTGGGAATGTTTTAATAAAATACGCCTTGTCCGCCAATCTTATAAAATGGTTCTGGTTGTGGCAGAGGTCGTGGTGGATCGTTTCAATGCTGGTCAATATTTCGAATGAGTCTTAAACATTCTATCCATGAAGATTTATACTCTCTTCCATTTACCAAATATTCATAAACATCGTTAGCCATTTGACTTTTCCAATTTGAAGATTCAATATTCAATTGTTGGACGATACTAGATTGGGGATCATTTGTTTTAATCGACTGTAAGTCACCAACTTTACATAAAAGTGAAATTTCTCGTCATGACATAGAAATGGATGTGTCAAGGCTTCGTTGGCAGATGGTCTTTCTTCTGGTTGTAGTTTTAACATCCACGATAGAAGATCTTTTAATGTTTCATCATTGATTTCATCCAAACCAACAGGGTTTCCATTCAACATGTTGTCCAGTCTAACCGTTTAGTTCCAAAGGATGTTTCCCTTTGTTGCAACATAATATGCCACCATTCCTGCATTCTAAGATAATGAAAAATGTAACGTTAACAGCAAAACAAAACTCTCACAAAATTAAATTTCGCTGTGAGTTTTGTAAATGTATTCTTACACTACATATACATCAGACTCTTTTTTATAACGTGCTTCATTTAAATCTTTATTACGTGCTTCATTTGCAATTGCAAATCAAAATGCAATTTCACAACATTGAGTTTCTCTACAACTTACAAATGTTTACATTCCTACACTTACATATACATCAGACTCTCTTTTGTAAGCGCTTTATTTACTGAATCATCATCTTCATAATGGGATTCAGGAGCTGTCAATGCAAAGTTCCCATGGAAGAATTGCTTTTATATGTTGTCGCGTCATTCTTCATTATTCGACTTATTCCAAAGTCAGCTATCAAAATTTGCTTTTGAGTCTCGCAGAACATTGGAAGGCTTCAAATCCCGATGTAGAATAGGATCTGGGCCACTATGAAGATCAGCTAATCCATTCAAAATTTGTCTAAGAATTTGGGGAAGAGTTTTTTGAAGAACATGTATTGTAGGATTCTTCACAAACTTGTCCAGTGATTCTTCACATAAGTCTAAGATCAAATAAACATATTCTGATCCGGTATCTTCCTCAAACAAGTAATAATTCACAACGTATTTCGACTTTCTTGCATTGAATTCATTTAAAATTTTCTTTTCGTGCAGCGCAAGCTGGATGTAGCTATCTCGATGTATTCGTTTTACTGCTTTACCGTAACCATCCTTACCCAGTCCAAGAAAAACACGGGTTACATCACTTCCTTTGCCAATGCAAAACTCGTCTGAAAAAATTACACGTATATTGCCCACATGTTTAATGTCTGCTCTGGGATAACACAATTTTGACAACAGACTTCCATGCTGAACTGGGACCAAGATATTCCACTCTTGCAGCTGCCATTCTTTAAAAACATAAAAGTATTACATTCAGAGGTGATTTAACAAAACTAATCAAATTCATAAAAATAGGTAGCTCAAATCTACTCAAATACGACTAAAATTTGGATAACGACTTTAAATTTTTGTAAAATCTTAGCACCAATCATTAAAGTTGTCAAAAATCAATCAATCATGCAAACATATTTCTGTTAAAGATTAAAGGCAAGCAACACAGTAAAATGCTGTTTTAATTTAATATAGCACTTTCGATTAAACGCAATGCTTACAAAATGATTTTTAGTGTAGAAAATTAAAGTTTTTGAAGCATGTAGCTATTTCTTATGCTTAAGTTTATATTTTATATTGGAGGATATAACTCTTTTGTCTTTTAGATAAAGTCTCTAATCTTTGCTACTAAACTTTTAAGAAAATGACAGATTAAAAGTATTTACTTGTCCAACCTCATGCTCTGCCATCTGTCCTATTCCCAATGCCACTATCTCAAAACCATACAACAATGTTGGATTTGTACTGTCTTGTAAACCCTTCTTTTCATATTAGTTGAAATTATTTTGTCATTAACACAAGACTTTTCCTCCAGCCCATCCACATACACTCTACATCAATCTGAACTTCTACTTCGTGTAACCACATTACTCACTCCTCTACATTCTAGAGTTTGATTCATCTTCTCCGTTGTATGGAAACGTTTGGCCCACGGTTAATTTACAATAACTCAAACCATAAAAACAGATAGTGTTTGTAAGAAAATTTCTAAAAATGAGCAATTTCCTAACTCAAGCCAAGACTTCGTCATTCATGATGATAAACAAGTAGAAGTTCCCCTTGTCTTCCTTCAGTGTATTCATACACCTCCTATTCTTTGTTTTTTTCTCTACGCTTCTTACTATGTACATAATTTATAATTTCCTTCACCCTATCAACGTAGGCCTTGTGTACATGAGAACGGAACGAAGTCAGAATTTGTTGCATGTTTACATGGGACCGGCACGAAACAACGAAAAATCCTCATTCGCGTAATGCCTTCTTTGCAGGCTAATTTTACGCTTGCTAGCCATTTTGCTTTTGTAATTTGCTTTTGTGCGCAAGCGTTGATGGCATTTCAGATCGGTCTGAACATTAATTTGCGTTTACATTGATGCCGGTTTTATTTCATACCGTTATAAACTCAGTCGGATCAGTTCAGCAGGCGGTAGGACATCAGACTGCTCTGAGTTTCTTTTAGTATCGATCCCATGTAAACATTTACTATAAATAATATTATGACCGACACAAGATTGTGCCGTGGTTTGACTTCGTTCCGGTCTCATGTAAACAGGGCCATACTCTACTCTATGTTTACCTCTTATTCTTCAAATATGCGCTACTTGTGTCTTTTTCATTTACATACATACATGCATTCTGTGACTAATATTCATTCCTTAATTCTATGGAGCAGTGTCAACAATATTCAACACAATCTTGCTGCAAATTACAATTAAATTCTGCTTAGAAAACACGAGTAATATTTTGCATGTCACGTGGTACCTAGAAAACGGTAAACATTGCGTACATAGTCACAGCCACAGCGTAGTAAATATACAGTAGAGCCACTCCATTAATTTTTTTCGTTCAACGCATATCTTATTACGCAAGTGATTACCATAGTGGCAGCTAGTCAATTGCTTTTTTTGACCAATAAGAATGATAAAATGGCTAAAAGCAGCCAATAATCTAATTAACTATACAGCAGCAAGTTGCACACGATATGAACCTACTGTATATTCCCTATACTGTTCACAGCTCTATCATATATTTTCATACGGAATGACTGTTTTGACTTCTGAAATCTTCGAGTATTGATGTGTTCTTAGGGCAGTTTAGTCACATAACTATCTTTTTAAATCTCCTAGAAATAACAGTCAAAAGGTAATGATGTAAGTTGCTTCTAGTTAATGATCTTGGTGTCACATAAAAAGAATTGGGTTAGCTATGTGACGGCGTAGCTAATTTAAACATTCAATCTGACATAACGTTGAATATGATGCAAAATTTCACTTTATTGTGCACGAACCTTTAAAAAATATACTTTGTTACCAGTTTCATTATTTTTCATCAATTTTGTATGGCGAGAATCGTTGTTAGAAACACACAAAGCACATAACGTTTTAACGATCGTTTCTATCCACACTATTCAGTATTCACATTTTCTAAAGTCGATTATGATTGACTATAGAAGCTAGCAACTATATAACTAGCAGAACCGCTGCCATTTATTACAAAATTAAAAAAGATATTTGTATCATAAAATTGCTAAAAGAATACCTGAAATTATTCTAGCAAAAACAGTCAACGCTATATAAGAATATATGATAGAGCTGTGACGATGTATGCAATGTTTATAGTTTGCACCACGTGACATACGAAAATATAAGTGGCGAAAGTTGTGGATTCCAGTCAAACGAATAAAAACCATGTAATATAGATAGTAAAAGAACTTTGAGATATCTGAGAAAATATGATACAGCCATTGAGTTTGTAAGCGATATTTCAGCATTAGCGTTATAAAACACCCCTCCCCATCCCACTAAAGTTATAATTTCTGTACTCCATAAATTGGTCCGTACTACAATAGCTAGAAAATATGATACAGCCATGAGTTATGTAAGCGATATTTCATCACCAGCATTATTCTCGCTCAATCTGGTGGCTTAAGTCGTAAGTAGCTTGGTCTGATTCACGCGCAGTTTTTAATGAAGATTATTAAACCAGTTAACAATCATCAATTAAGACACAGTTTGAATCATAAATGAGATTTTTGGATGAACTTGCTCTTCTAATGTAGTCCAAATAATCATATTTATATATTTTGAAATCATTGGGAGTAATTTATTCAAATCAATGAATAAAGTCGTTGTTTTTAAATTTTGCGACTTGTAACGTTATTTGCTTATCTATTTTGGGAAATTTTCTGGTAGAAAAAACTGATACAGCAACTTTTATGCTCTTTGCAACTTTCAAAATGCAATTCTTAGTAAAAAGTATTAAAAATTTAATTCTAAGCTAGAAAATTATCTTTGTGGACTTTCGAATGATGTTCAAACTGAAGAGGTTATCTCCAGTATACTTATCAAAGAGAGACCTCAAAATAACTTGTGATTTTCTGTAAAATTAGAATTTAGAAGATCGTTTAGTAAATGCGAAAATTAATGCTACATTTGTCATATCAAAAATTATAAATCGCCTTCTTTTTATAGTAGAGCTTTGAGAATTCACATCGTCAAATTGCTTCATTTTCTATATAATTTTGAGGTATTTTACTTACAATGAACAGGAATTCTTATTCATTTAAGTTTATTGTTTAGAGTTTACAGTTTTATGAGATTTGACTCGTCTCCAATCCCTGTGGGCTTGGTAGCTCAACAGGTAGAGCGGCGGACTAGTATCCCGAGGTTCAAAGCTCGTCCAAATCATGTGCATATTGAAACAGTGTTGGGATTAATATATTATATGAAGGTTACTAAGCAAGTCGATTTCATGGTGGCCGTTGTTTGCATGATTTTTAATGTCATTAGCTGGGTAGTGTATGCAAAGTGGTGCAAACGCGAAGTATCACAGTATATCAAGAGGATAGTTTGTTGAGAATTTTTTATGATTAAACAAGCAGAATACTATTAAAGGTTATTTTGAAAAAATAGATTGCCAGATGTCATTATCACCTCATGTCTCATTTTAATTTCAACTGACCGATAATGTGCTTCGAGTAAAATTTGTTAAAGTGAAAAATTGGTCAAAACAAATTAAACCCGCTGCAAATATTACCATTCAGTGTTGCTTAGGCATGTGATGAAAAATACTCATATATCTTATTACATTTTCTTAATGTAAAAGGTTGATTGAAGACTGTATTCGAAGTAAATTTTTATTAGAACTTGGACTTGGTGACGTTTTTTAATTGTGTCAACATGCTGTAAGCCAGAGCAAAAACATAATTTCCATCTGGAAAAAGTTATACCCGATAATCTCCTGTACTCTAACAAAGAAAAATAAAATTAATGTAATAAACACGTATAATCCTTGTTCTTGAATGGAATTTCAGAAGTGTAGTCAATTTGAGCACTTTATAAAAGATTTACGTCACTGCTACGCAGTATTTATTGAGATAAACAAAGACTTGTCAAGTTGTGCTGAGCACTGCCGTCTGGTACAAAGTACACTTAACTTATTTGTCGTTCGCAAAACGAAAATTTAACCCATTGATACAGTATTCAACATACGTAATAAACGAACGATTGGAGTCCGAAAGTGCAACACTGTATACGCACATCATGCATATTATTAAATAATATAAATCTTAATAAAAACACATAAATACCAATCAAATGACTTGAATTGTGATAGAATTCAAAACAAATATGCTTAGGTTACGCAGTATATATAAAATGAATTAGAATTAAAAGGCATACCTTGTTTTGTATTTTCAACACCAGGAGAACTTCCGACATCTTTAGCATTAGCATCATCACCACTTGTGATTTCTACGAACAATATTTTAAAAAGCGTTATCCACACAAGCTGTGTATTTCTATTTTGACAACAAGTAAAAAATGAATTTACAGCTAGCGCTCGAAAATAAATAACACCAATAAATTGAAAGGTTTTGGATAGTAGCTTTTTAAAGCTATTTATTTCGTTTCGTTTTGCCATTAGCTCCAAAATCTCATATACATAATATTACGTTTTACATGACTGACATTTTCAAGTAATAAAATGACCTTACAATTGGAAATATTGAGAGGGCAGTATATATTTTCACGTAATGAGCCAGCTTTAATTAGGCGTAATTTTACAAATAAATGCAGATAAACAAACTTCATGAATTACGACTGTTAAAAAGTATTTTGGTAAAACACAAGACAATAGACACTCTGTATATATTAAACATTATTCATCTAGATTAAATATCTGAGGAAACGTAATACAGCCACTGAGTTCTGTAAGCGATATTTCAGCAGCAGCATTATTAAAAACCCCTCCTAGCCCCACTAAACTTTATAGTTTTAGCCCCCTATACAGTGATCCGTGCTACAATATCTGTGAAAACCTGATTCAGCCATTAAGTTCTGTAAGTGATATTTCATCATCAGCATTTTTAAACACACCTTCCCCAGTCCACTAAAAGTTATAGTTTCGGTCCTCTATACAGTTTTCCGTACTACAATATCTGAGAAATGATGATACAGCCATTGAGTTCTGTAAGCGATATTTCAGCAGCAGCGTTATGCTTGCTCAATCGAGAGGCTTAAGTCGTACGTGGCTTGGTCTGATTCACGTGCACTTTTTAATGGAGGTCATCAAACAAGCTGACAATCATCAATTAAGACACAATTTGAATTATAAATGAGATTTTTGGACTCATTTGCTCTTCTAATGTAATCGAAATAATTTTATTTATTTATTTTGAGATCAGTGGGAGCAATTTATTGAAATCAATGAATAAAGTCCTTATTTTTAAGTTTTGCGATTAGTAACGTTATTTGCTTATCTATTTTCGGAAATTTTTTAGTAGAAAAAACTGATACAGCAACTGTTATGCTCAATGCAACTTTCAAAATGCAATTCTGAGTAAAAAGTATTCAAAATTTAATGCTAAGCTAGAAAATGATCAATGTGGACTTTTGAATGATGTTCACACTGAAGAGGTAACCTCCAGTATACTTAGCAAAGAGAGAGCTCAAAAAAACTTGTAATTTTCTGTAAATTTAGAATTTAGAAGATCGTTTAATAAATGTGCAATTTAATGCTTTATTATTAATAATGAAAATTGTAAATAGTCTTCTTTTTATTGTGCAACTTTGAGAATTCACATCGTCAAATTTGCCCATTTCTATAGGATTTTGAGGTATTTTTATTACAATGAACAGGAACTCTTATTCATTGAAGTATATCGAGCAAGTCTATTTGATGGTGGCCGTTCTTTGCCTGATTTTCATTGTTATTGAATACGTAATGTATGCATGGTGGTGCAAACGTGAATTATGGCAGTATATCCAAATGATAATTTGTTGAGAACTTTTTAAGATTAAGCAAGCAGAATACAAATAAACGTTACTTTAAAAAAATAGATTGCATGATGTCATTATCACCTCATGTCGCATCTTAGTTTCAAATGACTTATAATGTGCTTAAAGTACAAATTGTGAAGTGACAAGATCTTACTGTCATGGTTAAAACAGATTAAACCAGCTGCAAATGTTACCATTCAGTGTTGCTTAGACATGTGATGAAAAAATTCATATATCCTATAACATTTGTTAATGTAAAAGGTTGATTGAAGACTGTATTTGTAATAAACACGTAATCTTTAATTCCATAAATTCTTGAATGGAACTTATGAAGTGTAGTCAACTTGAGCACTTTATGCAAAGATTTGCGTCACTTTGCTGCTACGCAGTATTTATTGAGATAAACAAGGACTTGTTAAGTTGTGCTGAGCACTGCCGTCTGGTACAAAGTACATTCAAATTATTTGTCGTTCGCAAAAGAAAATTTAACGCATTGATACAGTATTGAACATACGTAATAAACGAACGTTTGGAGTCCGAAAGTGCAACACTGTATACGTATATCATGCATATTATTAAATAATATAAATCTTCATAAAAACACATAAATACCAATCAAATGCCTTGAATTGTGATACAATTCAAAACAAATATGCTTAGGTTACGCAATATATATAAAAAATTAGAATTGAAAGGCATACCTTGTTCTGTGTCTTTAACACCAGGAGAATTTACGACATCTTCGGCATTAACATCATCACCACTTGTGATTTCTAGGAACAATATTTTAAAAAAGCGTTATCCACACAAGCTGTGTATTTCTATTTCGACAACAAGTAAAAAAAAGAATTTACAGCTAGCACTCGAAAAGAAATAACACAAATAAATTGCAAAGTTTTGGATATTACCTTTTTAAAACTATATATTTCGTTTCGTTTTGCCCATTAGCTCCAAAATGTCATATAAATATATTACGTTTTACATGACTGACAATTTTAAGTAATAAAATGACCTTACAGTTTGAAACATTGAGAGGGCAGTATATATTTTCACATAATGAGCCAGCTTTCACTAGGCGTAATTTTACAAATAAATGCAGATAAACAAACTTCATGAATTACGACTGTCAAAGAGTATTTTGGTAAAACACAAGACAATAGACACTCCGTATATAGTAAATCTTATTTATCTAGATTAAATATTTGACGAAACGTGATACAGCCATTGAGTTCTGTAAGCGATATTTCAGCTGCAGCATTATTACACACCCCTCCACCAACCCACTGAAAGTTCTAGTTTCGGCCCTCTATACAGTGGTCCGTGCTACATTATCTGAGAAAACCTGATACAGCCATTAAGTTCTGTATGCGATATTTCAGCAGCAGCATTTTTAAACACACCTTCCCCACCCCACTAAAAGTTATAGTTTTAGCCCTCTATACAGTGGTCCGTGCTACAATATCTGAGAAAACCTGATACAGCCATTAAGTTCTGTAAGCGATAATTCAGCAGCAGCATTTTTAAACACACCTTCCCCACAACACTAAAAGTTATAGTTTTAGCCCTCTATACAGTGGTCCGTGCTACATTATCTGAGAAAACCTGATACAGCTTTTAAGTTCTGTAAGCGATATTTCAGCAGCAGCATTTTTAAACACACCTTCCACACAACACTAAAAGTTATAGTTTTGGCCCTCTATACAGTGGTCCGTTCCACAACATCTGAGAAAACCTGATACAGCCTTTAAGTTCTGTATGCGATATTTCAGCAACAGCGTTATTAAACAGCCCCTCTACCACCCCACTAGACATTATAGTTTCGGTCGTCTTTACAATGGTCCGTGCTACAATATTTGTGAAAACATGACACAGCCATTGCGTTCTGTAAGCGATATTTCAGCAGCAGCGTTATGCTTGCTTAATCGGGAGGCTTAAGTCGTAAGTGGATTAGTCTGATTCACGTGCACCTTTTAATGGAGGTCATCAAGCAAGTTTACAATCATCAATTAAGACACAATTTGAATTATAAATGAGATTTTCGGACTCATTTGCTCTACTGATATAGTCGGAATAATTATATTTATTTATTTTGAGATCAGTGGGAGTAATTTCTTCAAATCAATGTATAAAGTCGTTGTTTTGAAGTTTTGCGATTAGTAACGTTATTTGCTTATCTATTTTGGGAAATTTTTTTGTAGAAAAAACTGATACAGCAACTTTTATGCTCCATGTAACTTTCAAAATGCAATTCTGAGTAAAAAGTATTCAAAATTTAATTCTAAGCTAGAAAATGATCTTTGTGGACTTTTGAATGATGTTCACACTGAAGAGGTAATCTCCAGTATACTTAGCAAAGAGAGAGCTCAAAAAAACTTGTAATTTTCTGTAAATTTAGAAGATCGTTTAATAAATGTGCAATTTACTGCGACATTATTCATAATGAAAATTGTAAATAGCCTTTTTATTATGGAACTTTGAGAATTCACATCGTCAAATTTGCTCATTTTCATTATGTTTTGAGGTATTTTTGTTACAATGAACAAGAATTCTTATTTATTGAAGTATATCATGCAAGTTCATTTGATGGTGGCCGTTCTTTGTCTGATTTACAATGTTATTAGCTAGGTAATGTATGCATGGTGGTGCAAACATGAAGTATGACAGTATATCCAAAAGATAGTTTGTTGAGAAGTTTTTATGATTAAACAAGCAGAATACAAGTAAACGTAACATTAAAAAAATAGATTGCATGATGTCATTATCACCTCATTTCTCATCTTAATTTCAAATGACTGATAATGTGTTTTGTAATATTGTGCCACTATCTGCGGTACTTTATGACCAGCGGTACTCACTGTTATGTTTATCCGCCATATTGCTGTTTGTAGCATTTAAGTTGTTTTTTAAAGTTAAATAAAGCCTAAAGAATGGTAAATTACAACAATTTATTTAATTTTATTTAAATTCTTCAATATGGAAACAATATTGAAACCGCAACGTCTCGACTTGGACCCAAATACGCCGTCAGCCGCGAAAGAGTGGAAACATTGGCTCCGAACGTTCAACAACTTTATTCAAGAATGCGGCGATAAAGCCCCAAACAAACACCGTACTCTCATCAATTATGTCTCTCACAACGTTTACGATTACATCGAAGATTGTCAGGACTTCGACTCGTCTATTGAAGCACTAAATAATCTGTATATCAAGCCTCCGAATGAAATATTTGCACATCATCTACTTGCTACAAGGCGCCAAAAGCCTAGTGAGTCGCTTACAGAGTTCTTACAGGAACTTAAAAAGTTATGCAAGGATTGTAACGTCAGAAGTGTGACTGCAGAACAGTATAGGGAGGAATTAGTCCGTGACTCATTTATTAATGGTCTTCTATCACCACTGATCCGCCAACGACTTCTGGAGAACAGGCAACTCGACTTGAAGACGGCGTTGGATCAGGCCAGCGCGTTAGACTTAGCCCAGAAAAACTCTGAAGCCTATGCTCCAGCCGAAAACTCGGCAGCTTCTATTTCTACTGAAAGTGGTGGTGAGGATCCTTTACCAAGTGATAACCATGTGTCAGCAGCAGTCAAACCCCAAAGAAAGTGTTATTTCTGTGGCGGCCCTATTCACAATAGAAAGGAGTGCCCTGCGCAGTTGTGTCCGCAACAATTGTGGTAAAACTGGCCATACGCTAAAGTTTGCCAGTCTCAGGCTGTCAAAGGGACTAAAACTACAGCTTCAATAAGATCTGCCTCACTCTGCTCTATAAGTGCCGCCTGTCCAAAGAGCCTTATGCAAGCATCCACCAAAGTCAGTGTCAACAGTACTGTTCTTACTGCCCTTGTTGACTCTGGGAGTTCAGATAGCTACATCAACGACAAGGTAGCTAACCAGCTTAACCTCAAGTTACTCAAGTCAGAAGACAGTTTATCTATGGCTCTCACATCACTTAAAGCCAAAGTTCTTGGCCATTAAAGCAATGTTGACATCTAACTAGGCCACCAGTGTTATTTATCTGTACATCTAGGGGTACTAAAGGATCTCTGTAGTGATATCATCCTTGGCCAGGATTTTTAAAGGGAACATAAAAGTGTTTTCATTGAGTTTGGTGGTGAAAAGCTCGAACTTAAAGTACCCAACGGGGTACCTGAATGTGCTCTTGCAGCAGCATCAATTGAGGAGCCATCCCTCTTCTCGAACCTCCTCCCCGAATGTAAGCCTATCGCAAGCAAGTCGCGGAAATTTAGCAAGGAGGACCAGGAATTTATCAAACAAGAAATTAACCACCTACTCGTTGAAAGCATAATCGAACCTAGCACCTCACGCTGGAGGGCTCAAGTCGTCAAATCAAAGGACCCACAACAACGACACAAGAAGCGGCTTTGTATTGATTATTCTCAAACCGTCAACCTCTACACGGAGCTCGATGCATACCCGCTACCCCGTATCGACAACATGGTCAACAACCTAGCTTCATATAGAGTCTTCTCAACGTTCGACTTAAGGAGTGCCTATCACCAGGTACTGATCAAGAAAGCCGACCGAAAATTTACCAGTTTCGAGGCCAATGGTAAGCTTTACCAGTTCTGTCGCATCCCCTTTGGAGTAACCAACGGCGTCGCAGTTTTCCAAAGAGCGATGGACAAATTCGTAGAAGAGGAGGGCCTGAAAGATACATTTCTTTACCTCGATAATATAACTGTTGCAGGCTACGATCAGCACGGGCACGACGAAAATGGGAGGAAATTCAGAGAGGCTGTAAAGCGCCGGAACCTCACTTTGAATGAAAACAAGACAGTAGAGTCCAAGTCTTCCATCAATCTACTTGGTTACTGTATAGGGAATGGTGTCATCGCCCCAGACCAGGAAAGGCTTCGTCCACTTAAAAGCTTCCCTCCTCTCGAAAATTCCAAATCCTTGAAAAGAGTTATCGGTATGTTTGCATACTACGCAAAGTGGATACCAAACTATTCTGACAAAGTACAACCACTACTACAAGCAACCTCATTTCCACTTAATGGCGATGTCCTGAATGCATTCACAATGCTGAAGGACGAGCTGCGGAAAGCGTCATTACACTCTATTGACAAGAGCCTCCCCTTCGTTGTAGAGACTGATGCTTCAGAAACTGCCCTGTCTGCTACACTAAGGAGGCAGACCTGTAGCGTTTATGTCCAAGATCCTCCAAGGGAGTTAGCTCCACTATCCTGCGGTAGAGAAGGAAGTAATGGCCATAATTGAAGCTGTCAGGAAGTGGCAACATTTTCTTGCAGGCAGACATTTTACACTCAAAACCGATCAGCAGTCAGTCGCCTTCATGTTTGACAACCGAAGGCACCAAAGTAAAGAACAATAAAATCCAGGACTGGAGGCTAGAACTAGCCTCTTTTAGCTACACCATACAATACCGGCCCGGTAAGGATAACGCTGCTCCCGACTCATTTACCCGGGCTTTCACAGCTTCCATACCTGCAGCTAGCCTTACTGAGATACACGCTGCTCTATGCCACCCAGGTGTCACCCGATTGTTACATTTCATAAGGTCGAAAAACCTCCCTTACTCTACAGAAGAAGTTAAGAGGGTGTGTTCTAGTTGTAGAGTCTGTGCTGAGCTCAAGCCCCAATTTTTAAAAACCGCAGCAAGGAGTCCTCATCAAGGCTACCCGACCTATGAAGCGATTCAGCGTGGACTTTAAAGGTCCACTACCTACGACTACTAATAATCCCTATATGCTAACAGTCGTGGATGAATATTCACGCTTCCCTTTTGCTTTCGCCTGCCCAAACATGAGTTCGTCAACCGTTATTAGATGCTTGGATCAGTTATTCACTTTGTGTGGGACGCCAGGTTTCATCCATTCAGACCGAGGTGCCTCATTCATGTCCCAGGAACTTAAAGAATACCTCTCTCAGAGAGGCATCGCCACGAGCCGAACAACACCCTACAACCCGTTAGGCAATGGCCAAGTAGAACGCTATAACGGTATAGTGTGGAAAGCTATTCGCTTATCTCTCAAGTCAGCAAGCCTGTCGGACATTAAATGGGAAATGGTACTCCCTTATGCGCTTCATTCAGCGAGGTCTCTTCTCTCCACTGCCACCAACTCAACTCCACACGAGACATTTTTTGGCTTCCAACGACGTTCGACACATGGTACTTCACTTCCCACCTGGTTACAGTCCCTCACACCGGTTCTGCTCCGCCGATATGTGAGAAAAGCAAGAATGACCCACTTGTTGATCAGGTAGAGTTGAAGGAAGCTAATCCTACTTATGCCCATATTAAATATTTGGACGGCAGAGAATCAACGGTATCACTGATAGACCTGGCACCATGGCCCCCAGCTCACAATCACACCATCCCTGCCACCGTGCCGCCTATTGCAGAGGGAAATGACCAGGCACACGTTCCGGCTGAGCATCAAGCAGTTGAGAAGGAGAGTATTTCAACTGAATTGGAACAGCCACATGCCCCTCTGAGGCGCTCAGTGCGTGCCGTAAAACCACCAACCCGTTATGGTTTTGAAGACGAATAGACTCTAAACTTCGAACTCATAAGTGTTATCATCAGCTCTGTTTAAGGGAGGGAGAATGTTGTAATATTGTTTTTTTTATATTGGTCTCCCTGTGCCACTATCTGCGGTACTTTATGACCAGCGGTACTCACTCTTATGTTTATCCGCCATATTGTTGTTTGTAGCATTTAAGTTGTTTTTTAAAGTTAAATAAAGCCTAAAGAATGGTAAATTACAACAATGTGCTTGAAGTACAAATTCTGAAGTGACAAGATTTTACTGTCATGGTTAAAACAGATTAAACCAGCTGCAAATGTTACCATTCAGTGTTGCTTAGAAATGTGATGAAAAAATTCATATATCTTATAACATTTGTTAATGTAAAAGGTTGATTGAAGACTGTATTTGTAATCAAACACGTATTCCTTTTTCTTGGATGGAACTTATGAAGTGTAGTCAATTTGAGCACTTTATAATAAGAATTACGTCACTTTGCTGCTACGCAGTATTTATTGAGATAAACAAAGACTTGTCCAGTTGCGCTGAACACTGCCGTCTGGTACACAGTACATTTAAAATATTTGTCGTTCGCAAAAGGAAAATTTAACCCATTGATACAGTATTGAACATACGTAATAAACGAACGTTTGGAGTCCGAAAGTGCAACACTGTATACGTATATCATGAATATTATTAAATAATATAAATCTTCGTAAAAACACATAAATACCAATCAAATGACTTGAATTGTAAAACAATTCAAAACAAATATGCTTAGGTTACGCAATATATGTAAAATAAATTAGAATTGAAAGGCATACCTTGTTTTGTATTTTCAACACAAGGAGAAGTTCCGACATCTTTAGCATTAGCATCATCACCACTTGTGAGTTCTGTGAACAATGTTTTAAAAAGCGTTATCCACACAAGCTGTGTATTTCTATTTTGACAACAAGTAAAAAATGAATATACAGCTACCGCTCCAAAAGAAATAACGCAAATAATATGCAAAGTTTTGGATAGTAGCTTTTTAAAGCTACTTATTTCGTTTCGTTTTGCCATTAGCTCCAAAATCTCATATACATAATATTACGTTTTACATGACTGACATTTTCAAGTAATAAAATGACCTTACAATTGGAAATATTGAGAGGGCAGTATATATTTTCACGTAATGAGCCAGCTTTCATTAGGCGTAATTTTACAAATAAATGCAGATAAACAAACTTCATGAATTACGACTGTCAAAGAGTATTTTGGTAAAACACAAGACAATAGACACTCTGTATATAGTAAACCTTATTTATCTAGAATAAATATCTGAGAAAACATGATACAGCCATTAAGTTCTGTAAGTGATATTTCATCATCAGCATTTTTAAACACACCTTCTCCACAACAATAAAAGTTATAGTTTTAGCTATCTATACAGTGGTCCGTGCTACAATATCTAAGAAAACATTATACAGCAATTTAGTTCTGTAAGCGATATTTCATCAGCAGCGTTATTAAACACCTCCTCCCCAAACCCAATAATAGTTCTAGTTTCTGTCCTCTATGCAGTGGTCCGTGCTACAATATCTGAGAAAACATAATACAGCCATTGAGTTCTGTAAGCAATATTTCAGAAGCAGCGTTATTCTTGCTCAATCGGGTGGCTTAAGTCGTAAGTGGCTTGGTCTGGTTCACGTGCACTTTTTAATGGAGGTCATCAAGCCATTTGACAATCATCAATTAAGACACAGTTTGAATCATAAATGAGATTTTTCGACTCACTTGCTCTTCTAATAAAGTCGAAATAATTATATTTATTTATTTTGAGATCAGTGGGAGTAGTTTATTGAATTCAATAAATAAAGTCGTTGTTTTTATGTTTTGCGATTAGTAACGTTATTTGCTTATCTATTTTGGAAAATTTTCTAGTAGAAAAAACTTATACAGAAACTTTTATGCTCTATGCAACTTTCAAAATGTAATTCTAAGTAAGAAGTATTCAAAATTCAATTCTAAACTAAAAAATGATCTTTGTGGACTTTTGAATGATGTTCAAACTGAAGCGGTAAACTTCAGTATATTTAACTAGGAAAGAGCTCAAAAAAACTTGTAATTTTCTGTAAATTTAGAATTTAGAAGATCGTTTAATAAATGTGCAATTTAATGCTACATTTGTCATAATGAAAATTGTAAATAGCCTTCTTTTTACTGTAGAACCTTGAGAATTCACATCGTCAAATTGGCTCATTTTTACAATCTATAAAATTTTTACAATATTTATGGTAGTAATGAATATTTTTCTCATAATAAATTTTTTCCCTTCGAATTTAAGTAAATAAAGACTGATAAACAAAGAAATGATGTCAATATCACGTAAAATTAATGTGTAATCAAATTGCTATTGTACAACGATCACAAAATTTAAGTGTAATAAAAATGAGAAAATTCAAGCTAGTATGCTTACCTTTAAGTTCTGGATTTTCTTTCCATTCCTCATTTGACCTGACAGCTGCATGTAACCGAACAAGGAGATTCGGAAATGTTCGGAGAAAATACGCCTTGTAATCGCCAATCTTATAAAATGGTTCTGGTTGTGGTAGAGGTCGTGGTAGATCGTTCCAATGCTGATCAATATTTCCAATGAATCTTAAACATTCTGCCCAAGAAGATTTATACTCTCTTCCATTTACCAAATATTCATAAACATCGTTATCCATTTGACTTTTCCAATTTGAAGTTTCAATACTAAATTGTTGGACGAAACTAGATTGGGGATCATTTGTTTTAATCGAATGTAAGTCACCATTTTTACATAAAAAGTGAAATTTCTCGTCATCCGACATAAGAAATGGATGTTTCAAGGCTTCGTTGGCAGATGGTCTTTCTTCTGGTTGTAGTTTTAACATCCACGACAGAAGGTCTTTAAATGTTTCATCCTTGATTCCATCCAAGCCAACAGGTTCCCCATTCAACATGTCGATCAGTCTGTGGGGCTTAGTTCCAAAAGGATGTTCCCCTTTTGTTGCAACATAATAAGCCACCATTCCTGCATTCTAAGATAATAAAAAATGTAACGTTAACAGCAAAATTAAGCTCTCACAAAATTAAATTTCGCTATGAGTTTTGTAAATGTTAACATTCTTACACTTACATATACATCAGACTCTTTTTTGTAACGTGCTTCATGTAAATCTTCAATACGTGCTATATTTGAATCTTCGTTATGTATTGATTCAGGAGCAATCCAAAATTCAGTTCCCCTGTTAAACATGCTTTTGTGTGTTTTAGATCCATTCTTCAATATTCGACTAATGCCAAAGCCAGCTATCAGAAATTTGCCGTCTACGTCACGGAGAACATTGGAAGGCTTTAATTTCCGATGAAGAATAGGATCTGGGCCACTATGAAGATCAGCTAATCCATTTAAAATTTGTCTAAGAATATCGGGAAGAGCTGTTTGAAGATCATGTACAGTAGAATTTTCACAAACTTCTCCAGTGATTCCTCACATAAGTCTAAGATCAAATAATCATATTCTGTTCCAGTATCTTCCTCAAAGAAGTAATAATTCACAACATATTTCGAACTTTTTGCATTGAATTTATTTAAAATTTCCTTTTCATGCTGTGCAGGCTGGAGGCAGTTATCTTTACGAATTCGTTTCACTGCTTTACCGTAACCATCCTGTGCCAGTCCAAGATAAACACGGGTTTCATCACTTCCTTTGCCGAGCTCAAACTTCTCCGAGAAAATTACACGTACATTGCCCACATGTTTAATGTCTGGACTGGGATAACACAATTCTGACAACAGACTTCTATGCTGAACTGAACGGCCAAGATATTCCCACTCTTGCAACTGCCATTCTTCAAATGACATAAAAGTATTACATTTAGAGGTGAGTGCCACAAAACTAATCAAATTCATATGAATAGGTAATTCAAATTTACTCAATAACACTTATAATTTGGATAACGACTTTCAATTTTTGTAATATCTTAGCACCAACCATTAAAGTTGTCAAAAATTAATCAATCATGCAAACATATATCTGTTAAGATTAAAGGCAAGCGACACAGAAAAGTCCTGTTTTTAATTTAATATAGCACATTCGCTTAAACAACGCAATGCTTACAAAATGATTTTTAGTGTAGAAGAATTAAACTTTTTCGAAGCATGTAGCTATTTCGTATGCTCAAGTTTATATTTTATAGTGGAAGATATAACAAACGGCTTTGTTTCAATAAAAGATTTTTCACTCTTTTGTCTTTTAGATAAAGTCTCTAATCTTTGCTACTAAACTTTTAATAAAATGACAGATTAAAGAGTCTTTACTTGTCCAACCTTTATGCACTGCCATCTGTCCTATTCCCATTGCCCCTATCTCAAAACCATACAAGAATGTTGGATTTGTACTGTCTTGTAAACACTTCTTTTCATATTAGTTGAAATTATTTTGTCATTTAACACAAAGGACTTTTTTCTCCATTCCATCCACATACACTCTACATCAATCTGAACTTCTACTTCGTGTAACCTCATTACTCATTCCTCTACATTCTAGAGCATGATTCCTCTTCTCCGTTGCATGGAAGCGTTTGGCCTATGGTTAGTTTACAATAACCCAAACCGTATGAATAGATTGTGTTTGTAAGAAAATTTCTAATAATGAGCACTTTCCTAACTAAAACTAAGACTTCGTCATTCATGATGATAAACAAGTAGAGATTCCCCTTGTCTTCCTTCAGTGTATTGATACATCTCCTATTGTTTGTTTTTCTCTACGCTTCTTACAATGTACATAACTGATAACTGCCTTCACCCTATCTGTTGTAATATTGTTTTGCTGGTATTGGTCTTCTTGTGCCACTATCTGCGGTACTTTATGACCAGCGGTATTCACTCCTATGTTTATCCGCCATATTATTGTTTTTGTCATTTAAGTCGTGTTTTTAAGTTAAATAAAACCTAACGAATGGTAATTTACAAAATTTATTTAACTTTATTTAAATCCTTCAATATGGAAACGATATTGAAACCGCAACGTCTCGACTTAGACCCAAATTCGCCGTCAGCCGCGAAAGAGTGGAAACATTGGCTCCGAACGTTCAACGACTTCATTCAAGAATGCGGCGATAAAACTGCAAACAAACACCGTACTCTCTCATCAATTGTCTCTCACAACGTTTACGATTACATCGAAGATTGTCAGGACTTCGACTCGTCTATTGAAGCACTAAATAATCTGTATATCAAGCCTCCGAATGAAATATTTGCACATCATCTACTTGCTACAAGGCGCCAAAAGCCTAGTGAGTCGCTTACAGAGTTCCTACAGGAACTTAAAAAATTAAGCAAGGATTGTAACGTCAGAAGTGTGACTGTAGAATAATATGGGGAGGAATTAGTCCGTGACTCATTTATTAATGGTCTTCTATCACCACTGACCGCCAACGACTTCTGGAGAACAGGCAACTCGACTTGAAGACGGCGTTTGATCAGGCCAGCGCGTTAGACTTAGCCCAGAAAAACTCTGAAGCCTATGCTCCAGCCGAAAACTCGGCAGCTTCTATTTCTACTGAAAGTGGTGGTGAGGATCCTTTACCATGTGATAACTATGTGTCAGCAGCGGTGAAACCCCAAAGAAAGTGTTATTTCTGTGGCGGCCCTATTCACAATAGAAAGGAGTGCCCTGCACGCAGTTGTGTCTGCAACAATTGTGGTAAAACTGGCTATTACGCTAAAGTTTGCCAGTCTCAGGCTGTCAAAGGGACTAAAACTACAGCTTCAATAAGATCTGCCTGAAATTCAGAGAGGCTGTAAAGCGCCGAAACCTCACTTTGAATGAAAACAAGACAGTAGAGTCCAAGTCTTCCATCAATCTACTTGGTTACTGTATGGGAAATGGTGTCATCGCCCCAGACCAAGAAAGGCTTCGTCCACTTAAAAGCTTCCTTCCTCCCGAAAATTCCAAATCCTTGAAAAGAGTTATCGGCATGTTTGCATACTACGCAAAATGGATACCAAACTATTCTGACAAAGTACAACCGCTACTACAAGCAACCTCATTTCCACTTAATGGCGATGCCCTGAATGCATTCACAATGCTGAAGGACGAGCTGCGGAAAGCGTCATTACACTCTATTGACGAGAGCCTCCCCTTCGTTGCAGAGATTGATGCTTTAGAAACTGCCCTGTCTGCTACACTAAATCAAGGAGGCAGACCTGTAGCGTTTATGTCCAAGACCCTCCAAGGGAGTGAGCTCCACTGCGGTAGAGAAGGAAGCAATGGCCATAATTGAAGCTGTCAGAAAGTGGCAACATTTTCTTGCAGGCAGACATTTTACACTCAAAACCGATCAGCAGTCAGTCGCCTTTATGTTTGACAACCGAAGACGCACCAAAGTAAAGAACAATAAAATCCAGGACTGGAGGCTAGAACTAGCTTCTCTTAGCTACACCATAAAATACCGGCCCGGTAAGGATAACGCTGCTACTGACTCATTTACCCGGGCTTTCACAGCTTCCATACCTGCAGCTAGCCTTACTGAGATACACGCTGCTCTATGCCACCCAGGTGTCACCCGATTGTTACATTTCATAAGGTCGAAAAACCTCCCTTACTCTACAGAAGAAGTTAAGAGGGTGTGTTCTAGTTGTAGGGTCTGTGCTGAGCTCAAGGCCCAATTTTACAAACAGGAGCAAGGAGTCCTCATCAAGGCTACCCGACCTATGGAGCGACTCAGCGTGGACTTTAAAGGTCCACTACCTACGACTACTAATAGTCCCTATATGCTAACAGTCGTGGATGAATATTCACGCTTCCCTTTTGCTTTCGCCTTCCCAAACATGAGTTCATCAACCGTTATCAGATTCTTGGATCAGTTATTCACTCTGTGTTGGACGCCAGGTTTCATCCATTCAGACAGAGGTGCCTCATTCATGTCCCAGGAACTTAAAGAATACCTCTCTCAGAGAGGCATCGCCACGAGCCGAACTACATCCTACCACCCGATAGGCAATGGCCAAGTAGAACGCTATAACGGTATACTGTGGAAAGCTATTCGCTTATCTCTCAAGTCAGCAAGCCTGCCGGACAGTAAATGGGAAATGGTACTCCCTGATGCGCTTCATTCAGCAAGTTCTCTCCTCTCCACTGCCACCAACTCAACTCCACATGAGACATTTTTTAGCTTCCAACACCGTTCAACACATGGTACTTCACTTCTCACCTGGTTACAGTCCCTCATACCGGTTCTGCTCCGCCGATATGTGAGAACAAGCAAGAATGACCCACTTGTTGACCAGGTAGAGTGGAAGCTAACCCTACTTATGCCAATATTAAATATTTAAACGGCAGAGAATCAACGGTATCACTGAGAGATCTGGCACCATGGCCCCCATCTCACAATCACACCATCCCTGCCACCGTGCGGCCTATTGCAGAGGGAAAGGACAGGCACATGTTCCGGCTGAGCATCAAGCAGTTGAGAAGGAGAGTATTTCAACTGAATTGGAACAGCCACATGCCCCTCTGAGGCGCTCAGTGCGTGCCGTAAAACCACCAACCCGTTATGGTTTTGAAGACGAATACACTCTAAACTTTGAACTCATAAGTGTTATCTTCACTTCTGTTTAAGGGAGGGAGAATGTTGTAATATTGTTTTGCTGGTATGGGTTTTCCTGTGCTACTATCTGCGGTACTTTATGACCAGCGGTATTCACTCCTATGTTTATCCGCCATATTATTGTTTGTGTCATTTAAGTTGTGTTTTAAAGTTAAATAAAACCTAACGAATTGTAATTTTTCAACACTATCTACGTAGGCCCTGTTTACATGAGACCTAACGAAGTTAAACCGAAATGAAAATCAGAATTTGTTGCATGTTTACATGGGACCTGTACGAAATCACGAAAAATCCTCATCCGCGTAATGCCTCCATGGCAGGCTAATTTTACGCTTGCTAGCTATTTTGCTTTTGTAATTTGCTTTTGTGCGCATGCGTTGATGCCATTTCAGACCGGTCTGAACATTAATTTGAGTTTACTTTGATGCTGATTTCAATTCATACCGTTCTGAACTTAGTGGGATCAGTTCAGCGAGCGGTACGACTTCAGACTGCTCCGAGTCATTTTCGTAACGTTCCCATGTAAACATCTACTATAAATAATATTATAACCGACACGAGCTGGTACCGCGGTTTGACTTTGTTCCGGTCTCATGTAAACAGGGCCATATTCTACTCTATGTCCACCACTTATTCTTGAAACGTGCTCTTCTTGTGTCTTTTTCATTTACATACATACATGCATTCTGTAAATAATATTCATTCCTTATTTCTATGGAGCAATGTCAATATTATTTACGACAATCTTGCTGCAAATTACAATTAAATTCTGCTTAGAAAACACGAGTAATATTTTGCATGTCACGTGGTACCTAGAAAACGGTAAACATTGCGTACATAGTAACAGCCACATTGTAGTGAATATACAGTAGAGCCACTCCATTGACTTTTTTGTGCAACGCATATCTTATTACGCATGTGATTACCATAGTGGCAGCCAGTCAATTGCTTTTTTCTTACCAATAGGAAAGATAAAATGGCTAACAGCAGCCAATAATCTAATTAATTATACAGCAGCAAGTTGCACACAATATGGACCTACTGTATATTCCCTATACTGTTCACAGTTCTATCATATATTTTCATACGGCAATGACTGTTTTGACTTTAGAAATTTTGGAGTATTGATGTGTTCTTAGGGCTGTTTAGTCACAAAACTATCTTTTTAAGTCGCTTAGAAATAACAGTCAATAGGTAAATGATAAAAGTTGCTTCTGGTTAATGATCTAGAGATCACA